CTGATCTGTTTCATGTTGCTGCTGATCTGTTTCATGTTGCTGCTGATCTGTTTCATGTTGATATGTTCATGCGTGCTCATCTGCTTACACAGACATGCTCATGTTCGTACTGATGTTCGACGTAATGGTTTTATGCTATTAGTGCATAGTGTATTTTTAGTTGATGTTTTTCTTAGTTCATATCTTGGATGTTCTCTTTTTTTTTTTTTTACATTTTATTGTTGGATGTAACTGGGATCCTGTGTACATAATTTTGCTCCACCACATGTACCACATGTGGTGCGAATGACAATAAAGAATCTCTGACTCTGAGAAGTTTACAGTGAGCATTTAATTGTGATAATATGTAATCTAACAAGGACGAGTCATAATCTAACAAAGCTGAGTCATGTCCAGAGGACGGATTCCTCTGATTTATCTACCTGGATTATTGAGCATCAGGACATGTTTCAAATGAACCTAGATATGTTTCATCTTCCCTAAAAAAATTATTTCTCAGACAGACATTTTCTTCAGTTTATGTGGTCTTTAAATATGAAAATGTATGTGGTAAAATTGTGTTTATATTTATGTGTTCTGTATGAAGGAATGTCATTTGCCATAAATATTTCATAAAATAGTTCATTTGCATTTAATGTTAACGGTTCAAAGAATGTCAGGCTGAATGGTCGGCCCCCACACATTTTTACTTTACCAAGTCTGGCCCTCTTTGCAAAACATTTGGGCACCCAAACTGTCTTCAGTACTCGAAGTATTTGAGTACTTTGAGTTGTAATGTACCTGGATTTGTATAGGATTAAAATAGGAGCTTTCCTTAAAAAAAGAATTGTAATACATCATGTGATCCTCAGACACAATGGAAAGTTTGCTTTTAATAAATCAACTTGGAGTCGCTGCCTAATTCAGAGGTACAAAATAACACGTACATAAGCCTGAGGAGGTAGAAGATAATTCTCCTACCTGTTCCCTCTCTTATTTCCACCTTTTTGTTTCCAATAAGCCAGCGATAACAAGGAAAAGTCAGCACTTTTCCTCCTCCATGGGGTTCCACCAGTACGTAGCGACAGAACCAGTTATCTTCGACCCAGTATTTCTCTTTCTCCAGCCTCACAAGTAGCACGGACCCTAAAGGGGAATGGCTTGTAACTTTGTACTGGTCCACCTGATGATGAAAAATCAAGGGCAAATATGTGAAAAAATAATCAACACATTATATTAGTCATTTACAGCATGTTTATTTTTTTTGTTGCGACTGTGAAGATTTATGTGGCTTGCTGTGTTTGTCTGTGTAAATGACAGTCAGTCACAAATTAATGTTCCCTCTTTTTCATTTAACCTGAAATGTAATCTGTAACCAACATATTGCGTCACAAAATTCAGTGAACTCCATAAAATTAACTCTTAGGGATACATTACTGGGCTCGAACTGGGAGCCCCAGGATTACAAAGTTGTAGCGCATAACCACTGAGCTACCACAGTCCCAGTATCTCCCTAATTTAAACATACAAAATAAATAAATGTAAAACACAAAACGTTGGTTACGTATTGTAACCCCAGAATCTATGAGTATAAGCGTAGTCCTTTAAGGCTGTCGCTGATGGGTTTATCCCGATATGCAAAGCATTGCACTGAAAAATGTAGTCCACGCCCACCTGCTGTGTGGGCCCCACCCGGTTCATATAAATTACGTTAAGAGCGGGAAATCGGCTCCCAAAATAGCTTTTTCTTCAGCCATTTAGGAGCCAGTGAGGCCCGACGCTTAAAGGGCTACGCTTATACTCATAGAATCTGGGGTTACAGTATGTAACCATTGTTCTATTTCGTATAAGCTTCGCCCTTTAAGGCTGTCACTGATGGGTTAAGGGCGAAGCGGATGTTGTCCTCGCCTCACTGGGTCCATTCGAACACCGTATGAAGCAGAAGCTTGCCCAAAAAATGTCTTGTCACTCAGCTCCCCGTGTGCGTAATTACGTATTGCGTAATTATGTGTGCCATGCACAGATGCATGTTGTGTAACTATGCTTTCTGAATGCATGAACACCCCAGAAAATTCAACAGGGAGGGAAAAATGCTGAAAAGAGCCATGAACCAACCGGTTTACGGCTGAACAGTGTGAACAGATTAATAATAACAGGAGAGCTGATTATTAATCAAATGAACTGATTGGTAACAATAGTCATGAACTGATTAGTGACAATAGAACCAAATAACAATCACAATTTGTGATTGATAACAACATCTCACACTGTA